GCGCACATATATTATGCTTCGACTCGCTTCATGGATTAAATTGCCCCGGGGACAAGTATGTATATGTATAACCTACATTCAATATGACCAGATTGTTAGCCGGTTTGTTATATGTAGATATTAAACGAGTATGCATGATGGCAAAATAGTTTTCATTGGGGGCTGTTATTAACTGCAAGATTTTGGAGATAAGTATTTCAAACATTTGCAAAATATATATATATATATATTCATAAGGCGTATTTTTGCTTTCAATAGGACTCTCTATTTGTTTAAGGGAAACCCCATGTTTATTTTTGATGAATACTATAACCTTCTAGTTGCCATCGGTTGGAAATAATGCATGTATGGAACGTAAACACAACAATATTATTAAGTCAGCTGTGTTCCTTCATGTTCTCTTTTCTTATTATCGGACGATGCGTGGAATAAGGAAGGTTTATTTTTTCATGAATAACCTTTTATATCTGCTATATTGTGATAAAAATTGCCTTGAAATAATATATGAGTATACCGTGATCAATTCACAACCATTCAATTCAATAGCCTCATACTTTAGTAAAAATCTCACAAAAACTATGACTTCGACAGTTACTTCACATGTACAGAGATCGATTAAACAAATGTTCGAATCCTCTGACAAAACTTAACTCTTCTAAGGTCTATACATGTGTTGAATAATATTGATTTAAAATAACCGCCACTTAAAAAATTAAATACCTAAAAAAAATTAACGAGCCGACATACGAATATAGTATATAAAACTAGCGGACTCGACAGATGTTGTCCTGTAAACACGAATGAAATCCGAAAACTTAAAAATAAAAAAAATGTGTACCGAATTGTGAATCTAAACCATTCTCGAATCGAGGACACACACAAACTTTCATTAAAATTAGTCCAGCTATTTAGGATTAGTTCAGTGACATACGCACGTAAAGAATTATATATAATATAAAGATAGCACAGAATTATTATTATGTAACCAAATCGATAATCTTTCTTAATGCGAACAAGAAACGAAGATTTTTAAAATTAATCGGAGAAGCGTTTTTTTTTTTAAATTTGAAACGCTTCAGGCGCCACAAAGGTAATATGAAAAGTAATTGAATCCACAGAGAATAACGTAACCTATCGGTGAATATAAAATCGTTAATGATACATATTGGTGATTGCGAACCAATACGAATCTTAATTTGGCATTTGATATATGATTGCAGAAGATTCGTTGGTAACACAGACTGCACGGGTTTGAAAGTTTTAATTGGGAATCCGAGGTCGAGTACGAAAAGCTCAAACGATATCATCGTGAAAATGCAAAACGCGCTTAGATGTACAGGCGGCTACAGGCACATGTAGCGGCGCGCTAACGGCTCGGTGAAAGCGAGCGTAACTATAGTGCATAGGGTTCACATTGTAAAGGGTATGCACATGTTATTGGACGCGAGTGTACCTCCCGTGAGGCCGCCTTCAATGGTGGCTCTAATGACCCCTCTCCCGCTTTAATTCCTCCTCCCGTTGCGCACGTAACCCGTTGCGTGATTATGCATGAGTTCGTGTGTCGTCTATATGGACCCGTATTACGTGAGCCAAGTCGAGATTCATTACACGTTAATAAAAATTTAGAGTCGCGTGAAATGTAGCTCATATGAATTTATTAGGTAATTTCATCAATCTACGGACACATTTATTGAATTCGTGAATTCAAAGGTTGGATAGGGCGTACGGAAATTCGGATAGTATTACATAAAAACGAAATGGGCTATAGAAAACAGGTCTTTCATCCGGAATAAAAATGAACTAATGATCAAGTACGATTGCACAAACACGAAACAAGGAACTCTTAGGTAACAATTCAGAAAAGTTCCGTGAAAAACAAATTAGAATTACTTGCTCTCAATATAGTTTTGGAGTTTTTAGGGGTTCTTACTTACGCTAATTGGAAAGTAAATATTTCTGTGTATCAATAAAGGTACGTGGACTCAAAACAAACTTTGAGCAGTTAGTTTATAAGGTTTCATTTTAATAAGAGCTTATTTTCGATTTCGACATAAAAAAATGTCAAACGTGTAGGTCACCTTCCTTTGTTCAAAGAGTATTTACGACTTCAGCATAAAAATATTCAAATAACATTTTATTTGATAGATGAAACATCGTCAACGCTCGAAATAGACGAATTCGTAACAGAAGGGACTTTTATCACAATTAATATTATTTGTATGTATAAGTATATTAATCTCTCACAAAATGAAAAATTATAACATGAACATGTACAGACTTCATTTGGAACGCTATATATAATATGAAAAATAAAGAATTATTATTTATTATCATTATTATAAATTTAGTATGTCTTATTCAGTGCCTACGGGAATAACCACTATTTTATACCGAATGAATTGACTTTTTTTACATTAAATGCTCAGTCTTTTCAAGTCGCTTTCAAGGAACGGGCCTGAATTGGTCGACTACTCTCAACAAGGACACAAACGATACGCAACACGTGTTCGTCGTCCCTATTATAATTCATTGCTGCGACAATACAGATAGGCACACAATAACCTGCTGCCTCAAAGGCATCATCCGCTTATATATTAGGGGAATATATGTACACATCCAATGGCGCGCCTTGTAATCCCAGGCACATGTAGGGTCACTTAGTCATAAAAATCGAAAGAAATCACCGAGAGAAAAGCAAAATATACGGAAAAAAAAATATACGGAATACTCCGATCCATCCGTTCAGGCGAATGTAGCGAATGTAAATTTATAAGGCACGCTCGGTCAATTCCAAAATGAGAGAATAATTCATAAAACTGGGACACGTATAAATAAATACATTTGAATTCAAAGACACCGGTGGATGTGCAAAGGTCGTACTGTCCTGTTGCAGGGGCATTATCCTGTCGAGAGGTCATGATTGTCACAGGCCGGCCATTATCGGCCCTGAAAGGATAATCAACCAGGTCACTCCACACGTCCACCCGGATTCTGGTGGCTTGTGTGCCGACGGAAATGTGACTTTGTAAATCACAGACGCGCCACCGATTCCGCCTCGTAATTACGCCGGCAATTGTTAGGGTCGGCCACTCTTGACCTTTGAGCCATCTTAACTCATAATACAATAGCAAAACGCACCCAACTCGGTCCAATGCAATTTAGCTATTAAAGAAATTACCATTAGATACCATTCCAGCTCCGATATTGGGTAGTCATGTGAGAAACTAGAGAGGATGTAGAGCACACCCTTGTTAGAATCACCCGTAGAAAAGTAAACCTGTGACACTAATGCCCGTTAATAAGTATCACGCTTAATACTTTAGGTGACACTCAAGCGGTGGTGTAAACGAAACTAGCACTTAAATTTTTTTAGGTGTCCCTTAAAGTTAGGGATCGATAGAGAAAACGGGCATAACATTGTGTAACGAGATAGAGATTAAACGCGGCATATTATTATTTTTATTTGTACCTGCTATTCCACGTAAAATATAAAGCGATCGTAGCAGTCTATCGAATTATCGGAAACCGGCATTTTTCTGCGGTTCTATCCATTTTTCCCGCATACCGCACCCCCCGACACTCGGCTACAAAGTTCATCCCATAGAGGCTTGATTCTAAAGCGCAATATATATGTAAAACTGTCACAGACGGCTCAGGCGCCCACGGACAGTCTTGATATTTTGCAGAACAGACACACCAAATATAATTCGCATTGATCGGCCATTCGCAAGCGACAGTCCGATATAACAAATATTTCGATGAATATATTTGATAACAAATTGTAGTGAAAAATTTTTTGACTCCACGCTTTTAAAACTGTCTTAAATAGATTACTGATCGAGAAATGACGTAGTCACTATAAAAATACCAAATTAAAACCTTACTAAAAAAAGGCAAGAGGAGAAAGGGTAAATAATGCACCAACCCGAAATAAATGTAAAATTACGTCGCTAAATACTATCGCCCAGCGCAGAGACTTACAAGTAAATTTTCAATAGGGTGTACGTTAACTTCAACCGAAAGCTAATAACGTTATCCACCGGTAGAAGCTTCAGTAAACTTAAACGCGCTAAAGTGAGCCAGTAATAATTTCATTCTCTATCGAATTGAGCCGTGATAACTCACTGTCCCGGCGCTCGCCTTTAATTCAATATACAGGAGCAACGTGAGTCCAAGCCCCGGTGCCAGCACCAATGAAATTTGTAAATGCAATTTAATGACTTCACTTGTTCAGCGGTGAAGGAAAATAGATAATGCATATTATCGAGATAATTATTAAAAAATACTTCGATGATATATTGAGTCCGCCAATGTACAGAAGGTATTATGTTATAGTCCAGCAAGTGGGCGCGGATTTCACCTTTGTCCAGAAGTTAGACATATATGAGGTGTTACTTTCATTACTTCTATAATCGTAGATGAAAAGCAATTTAAAGCATATACGGCGCTTAAATATCTTAACTATAACCATCAACAGAAGAAACTAAAAAAATCAAATACATACTTAATTTCAAAATTATAAAGAGCCACCTCGAACATAGCAATAGAATATATATATATATATATATATATATATAGAATATATATATATATATCAAACATGTGACAAACAAAGTTAGTTAAATTAGTACTGAATGTTAACTTACAGTTAATTTTCATTCAGTAGATATAATTCTACAGTGAGTAACAACATCAATCGCCGAGCAGAAGACAAGCAAAAGAGAATGACATCCACGATTTTAACCAATGTGCAAGTAAAATCCACCATACTAAGAAAGCGAGAAACAAAAAAAAAACAATTATTATAATACATGTAATGAATAATTCGCTACGTAAACAAAGCGAAATCTAGAAATAACAAATAATATACGAATCAATGGCAACAAAAATAAACAGACATCAAATATTCAATAGGAGCTAAAGAAAAAAGAAAACGAGAGTCTGCGTACATAACGATACTCCGAACTGTAAGCGGTGAAGGACGCGCGGGAGGCACGTACCTGAAGTGGAAGAACACCTCCTTGGTGTGGTCGGAGGTCTCGATGAAACCGAAGCCGTCCTTGAGGGCGGCAATGAAGCCCTGCATAATGGGCCGGCTGTTGGAGCCGTTGGTCGCGTTGCCGTTCGTCAGACTGTGCTGCACTTGCACGAACATCGCTACCAGCTCCTTCGTTCGCTTCACCTACGGGAGATTTCCACGCGGATCGCATACTCGGACAATGGATGATGGAAGAGGTATCCGGTGTTCGAACACACGTTAAGTTGTGACACTCGCACAGATGCTACATGTTCGAAAAGTGATTTTTGAGAACAAAATTAGAGGCGTTAACCTTAGTAACTTAGTTTAGGTTAACAAGTGTACGTCAGGCGTTTGTTAGGCGTACTTTTTATTTAACAGAATAATATATTATTAATTTTGATGATAGGTGTGTTTGAAATTACTTGAACTTTTTTTATGTTAGGATTTTGCAAGAGACCTGGTAGTTCCATTGATGTTAACTAATTACGCCTGACCATGGACAACTCCTTTGATGTGGAAGGTGCGTTACCAACTTTCGAAACATAATTGGGGCCCGGTTACCTTACTCACCTAACAAAAGCAAAAGTCATAGTATATTCCCGGAAAAGCCTGCCCACTCGTGCAACAGCAGAAAATGTTGCGTAGCACTATCACAGTAAAAGAATTAAACAGTAAGAAAGGGATTAAAAGAAACACTAGCATGTAAAAAGTTTGGTCTGTCGTCATGTATGTTACCAATGAAATTTGGATTTTCGTTCTACTGTTGAATACTCGCCTTGATAAATGACTAGGTGTTAACCGTGGCTTCGCCCGGGAATTAATAATGACTTTTGTATTTTACTCCAGAATATCTCGCAGATGGCTGAATTTTTTCCTACTTACTTGACACTTATCATTACCTATATTTTGATCAATTCACATTTTGTGTGAATTATATCTTTATAAATTATAGGCTATGTATTATTTTGATGTATAAGGTATATTATTGTAGTTTCAATAAAATATATTAAGTAGAGTTTTTGCATGAAAGAGTAACAAGCATCCATCCATACATAGAAACTTTCGCATTTATAATATTAGTAAGGATGTAATTAGGTAATTTTATTAATTTAGTTTATAAGTTATCAATTTACTGGTAAGCCATGACTTACCTGATAGAGATCAAAAACGACTTTATCACCCACGTGGGGCAATATCTTGGATTCGGATTTTTTGGCAGCATACGGTATAGTTTTCTTAGCTCCATTGATTTGGGCAGTGATCAGACCATTAAATTCCTAAAAATTGGACAAGTAATCTCCATTATACAACCTTTAGTACATCACATATTTAATAAGGAAATTTCGAGTGAAATTTAAAAGATAAGTAGACATTTATATTTCGATAATTCTTACCAGATTTGGGTAGTGAATTCTTCATTTTGTAAAATACAGAATTCAATGTCCAAATGTGTTACAAAAATTTTACAGATCCTTTTAAAGTACAATAATCATGTATGTGGATAAAGAAAACACAAAAATGTATTTAAAATTATAGAAAAAAAAATATTTTCCGGTTTAATGGAAACTTTGGAAAGTTATAGAAGTTCTTTATGGTGTGTCGTCAAAATAGGTTCGCAATTTAACGGGATTAGAACAGACGAATTCAAAATTTAAACGTTTTTTGATAACGAAATTAACGATAGCATTTGTGTCAGTCCCAAAGGTTCAACGTTCCGAAAATGTTCAGTCCCGATATCTTTGTCGTTTACAATGAAATTAAATGTAGCCAAAGTTCAATTTTTCCAAGCGGAAAGCTATAGTATGTTTTACATGTACGATCATTTAAATCCAAGTTATCAGGAGGACACAGGTTGAAATCCGATGTTCATGACATTGTACATAATGTATTTTTGAAACAATAGAGGCCCGACGTAACAATGGAGATTTACGTACGTTTACGGGTTTCCTGGTTGGGCTGACCGAGGAGTTGATCACCTGTGCCTCTTTGCTCACCGCTCCGCGTATGCCGCGCTCCACTAATGTCTCGAAATGGACAGTGCCGGCAGGCAAGTGCTTAATTCGTATTGCCGATTGACGTGTATTCATATTGGAGAAAGTCGTCACTGGATCAACGGTAAACTCGACCTGCGTGCGAACGCATCGAGTATGAACGGGCGTTAGAATCAATAACGCGCCAAATGTATGAATGAATAAAGCTGAATAATATGTTGTTGTGCCGTGATAGCTCATTGTCCGGTAGCTCGCTTTTAATTCAACATCCGATTGAATTATACTCGAGCAACCCGAGTTCGATCCTCGGTGCCGGCACCGATGAAATTGTTAATTTTAAGTGCTGACTTAACACGTTTTCAGCGGTGGAGGAAAACATAGTGAGGAAACATGCATGTTTTTTAAATAATAACAAAAAGAAATATTTCGAAGATGTGTGAAGTCTGCCAATTCGCAGTGGGACCATGTGATGGACTATAACTTCTGTACAGAGGCGGTCTTTGCTCCGCAGACATAATAATATAGGTTGTTACTTCACTTTACCACTTTAATAATTATGTTTTTCAACACAAACTGGTCAATGAACACGCCTGGTGGTAGGCAGTGGTGTTTAAGAAAAAATAAGTTTGAAAACTGCACATTTGACTCACCTCATCTCCAACACTCAGTTCGTGCCCGAGACGGAGAACTTCGGCGAAGTGGAAGAACATCGTGTGCTCCCTTTCAACACAACGGATAAAACCAAAGCCCTCCCTCAACGAGCAGACCACACCTTGCTCCCGCCTGTTCACAACACAAAGAAAAATTACATATCAACAACAATTCCACGCCACACCACACGCACCGCAATCGGCTCAACATGGCCTCTTAAAGTTACTCATAATGCTCAGCTCACCTTTCGCCGGAGACGTTGAAAGACTCCTCGAGTAGTGTAATATTTGTAGCGCGCTTAAGCTGATCCCTTCTGTCTGTTGCAACCTGAAATTGGACCCAGTCTCCATGGCGCAGGGTGAACTCACCGCCTTGATCCTTATCTCCAAATGGTACCTGTTCCCGTGACAGAGAGTTTGCCTCCATTAAATCTTTTAAGCGAACACATGAACCTTATAGAACATTACAATGTGTGAAAATAATATATATGTTGGCCAAAACTCTTACCTCCACTTCTGAATGGTCGGCAGCGCGATATCTAATTCGGCCAGGTAATGGATCATTCTGTGGCACCCTAACCATGTTTCCTCGTTCGAGTGGTTTTAATACTTGCCCCTTCATTATCGTGGGGCTCACGTCCTCAAAAACTACGGAACCACTGGGGAGTTTCGTGATATTACATGCAACCTCCTTACCCTGTACAATGAATATATGTCGAACAGTAATATAGCACGAATGTATCGAAATAATGAACATTAAAATAGCTGGTATATTATCATACACACTCACATTTCTAGTCTGAATTATAAATTCAACGTCATCGCCTAACGCCAGCTCTTCTTTGTCCTTTGCTTCGGAATAATGAAAGAAAATCTCCTTAACGACATCGGCCCTCTCGATAAATCCGAAATTTTCCTTCATTGAGCACACTACACCGTGATATTTGACAGGATGTACAGGATTTTCGAAGCGCACGTGACACGCGCCAAGTGTGCCTCTGTAACAAGCATCATTTCACGATAAGCAATAAAAGTTCATACCATTACACATTCAATGATGAGGGTACAAACAAACCTCTGATTAGTTGCAATTTGAAAACTAACAGCATCTCCAGTGTGCAAAGTGACATTGCCTTCCACATCATCTTTTGTGTAAGGCAAGAAAAAGCATTCACCTCTATTCTCATAAGATATACGTCCTGTATTGTCCCCAGAACCTTCGCCCTTCACTTCAGTAGTCACTGTACCCGTCACTCGGGCTTCACTTAATACCTACAATGAAGGTTATTTAAATTTATTTAAAAATCTTATAATTATAAATATTTAACTTATTGTGTTATAATTAACCATACCACTTCTGGAGCTATCTTTGTTACAGTTGATGCAATTGGTTTTCCAGTGCGACGGTCATAGCTCATAATAAATTCAACTGGATCACCAATTTTCAGATGCTCAATGTTGCCACTAAACTGGCTAAAGTGGAAGAACAAACGAGCCTGTCTTTCACAACACTGAATAAATCCATAGGAGTGCTAAAATAAATAATTCCTTTTAAATGTCCGTTTTTAAAAAATTACTTTGTTATGAAATATTGTAAAGAATAAAGTGCTATCATCTCAGTATACTAAGTTTTAAAATAAATGTAATGGATAAAACAAATAGTACAAAACAAATGTCTCAAAATTTCAAAGTGAATTTTATGACATAAAATTCCCACTAGAAATTATGAAACATGTAGTATTGGATAGTCAACTTTTATCTGTAATTTTAATGGTCGAGAGATTCTAATAATAATTCTAAGGAAAATTTAGAATTTTACACTCCAAATACATTGTGAATGACTTCGGATTTTTTTTAAACAAATTTATAAATATGTAATAAATGTATAACTGTATTTATAAGGCTCTATGTATTTTAAAATGGTGCAATGTGAAATATAAAATTAAGCAAGAGCATTAAGATACAAAATATCATGTAGGGACAAGAACTCACCAGTAATTTTTCAATTATTCCAGTTTCTCTTATAGCAGTGCCATTCGCAGAATCATATTGAGAAGAGGAATTATTAGAATTATTAGTTGAACTTGAGGAATAGGCACCTGCAGAATCACCCATTGGACAGCCGTCCAAGTTATAATTACCCAGGGGGTATCTATTCCCTCCACCAGACTGACCAGATGACTTATTCATATTATTGTAATTATCCCGTGGGGAACTTGGATACTCACTGCTGTAAGTACCTTCAAACAAAATGTTAAGTTAAAGTGAAAGTTTTGAGTATGAGGATTAAATTTATTACAATTATTTTTAAATTTGTTATAGTATAGAAGTATTTACCAGAACGGAAAACTTGTTTGTTTTGCATGTTGGGGTGCTGGAGGTCTAATATATCCTGCAAAGGGGAGGAGTGTGAATCTGGCGGCTGGAACATTTTCCACTGAGGATTACTGGACATTATTTCTTGATTGCTTTATTTGTATATAATTCAAAAAACTCAATATTTATGTACCAATATATCACAGAAAATTGTAATTGTGTGGGGTTAGTTCTGTATATCAGTAAATAACTTTTAAAAATCAAATCACATTTTATAATCCTCCGAGTACTAAACACCAAGTTTTTTATTGTAAAGTCACAATTTAATCACCAAATACACTGGACGATGAAAAAGTCTGATTGTTACACTAGATCCTCAGATGTCTTCAATGCGTGCTGAATCGGAGCACTGTGGCACATTGGCTTATTTCACTGAAGCCAATTTGTTAAAAGTCTACCTGAAGATGAAAGAAAAATTATATGACATTAAAACCAAATTAAAGACAAAAAAAGGTACTCTAATAGGTACCGGCTGATCTTATTAGAAATCAATACAACATTTAACAGAACGAAATTTTACTTTTTAAAAAATATCTACAGTATAAAAGGACTAAAAAATAATTCTTCCTATTTTATAAAAAAAAAAGTCATTTCCTTGGAACTGACACAATCCAGGTTAGAATCTTAATAGTTAAAATTAACGAATTTCGGATAATTTATTAAAACTCTGACCGTAATAAAACGCCGTGACCAAAGGGGCAACATACAAATCACACGGCTACAACTCGACTGAAACGTAGTTACTATATCGCAGGCTTACAACAAAGCGACGCATCGGAATATTGCTCTACATTTTATGCTATCTAGGTAGGTATCAGCAGTCCGAACCTACTGTCGAAGTGCAGAATTAAACCGACGTTCGCCAACGCTAACTCTTTAAACTTTAGTTTTGACAACGTTTGCAAATCACCATTATTAAACTTACTGGTAACATATTTTGCAAAAAATTACGAAGTTTGCGAATAATGGATGAAATAAAAACCATTAAATTAACAAATCTCACCACGACACAGCACAGCACTGACGACATACCGCCATATTGAATGTCAACATAATCGCGACTTTGGTCCTACCTCACAAACTGTTTTTAATTTTGAAAGGAATGGTGAAACCTAAATGGACAAAATGGTAAATACATATATGTATTTTTAAATAACTGCGTCTATAAATTGGACTAAATTTAATTAATTACAGAATTTTTAGAAATTTTGTAGTTGTTTTTGTCTAAAGTCGCAAACCAATCATAGTTTTGTTTTTTCTCTTTTTTTTTAGATTACTAAAAAAGTGACGGAGATGGCCATTATTTTTTCTTAGAGTATAATCAAATTGCATGATATATCTTGCAAAATTACTTATTATAAATCATTAGGTAGATGAAATAAATTCGTCTTAAAGTTTCTGTATTTTTAAAATTCACCGAATAAAGTCATGCTTCTAATTTATTGTCCTCAAAAATGCTTCATATTTCAAAATAATTAATAAACTTTAAAAGGAAAACTCGATGTCGCATAAAATATCTTAATAGTATAAAATACAAAATATTTTTTAAAGTATTTACTCTTTATGGGTTTATAAGTTGAATAATTCAACTAACATTTAAAAAAAGTATGTATATAAGTATGCACAGTTTTATCTATATGAATTATATTACACAATAAGTTTCTAAAAATATTTGTAAGAATATTGATGATTTTAATAAAAATTAACAGTTAATTGAAGTTACCCAAAGATGTAGAATAATTAATCCTGAAAATGGTAACATTGGAATAAAATATGGATGCGTTCATTTTATCAAAGTGTTTCTTTTTTACAGCTTACAATCTAATCTACCCAAAATCGTAACAGGTAGTACTGAGAGATATATCAATGTCACCTGAGATTTTGCGGGTTTCTTTATTGTCTTCACATATTGTATATTGTAACAATTCTAAAAATATTATATAAAAAAAACGGTTCAACATAATTTATTTATTTGTATTTACTACTATTTTTTTCATTTACCCGTGTAATAAACACGTCCCTCTTGTGAGCACGGGCCTATTTTCAGGTTTCGGGTTCGCTGTCAATGATGAAATCTGGGTTCTACATATTTTATGAGACATGATAATTCAGGTTGTAGGCTTATTACATTATTTGGCCTTAATGAACTATATACGTACAACTAACTATATTGTTTTAATAATATGTTTCCAAATCTACAATACTCCATTACTATTCTCCATTCTTATAACTTATTACTATCGCCGAACTACTCGGTCCCAGAACTGAAAAAAATTTGTGCTCCGCCGTTTCAAGTAAAATATATTGCTTAGGACATGAATCCTTTTTTTCCTACAAATAAAACATAAATAATATTTAATAAATAGATACGCAAAATATACTGTAAATGGGATGGGAACGGATTTAAATAATACCAAATAAATTTTATTGTTTGTTATAGTGCTAATCTCTGCACTAAAGATTGAACATTAAAACATCTAGAAAAAGTACGAAAAGATTGTCGCCGCTGTGAGAATCGAAAACTTAAAAATTTATAAAAAACTTTAAAATTTATAAAAAGCAATGGCGACATCTCTCGTTCGACTTATCGTTGTAAAACGATATTCGAAATTGTTTGTATGCTGAAAAGGATATAACAATAGATGCCCCAAGCAATGCTTCAAATGCTAAATAACAATGTAGAAAGAAGGTGTTAAGATTTTCGTCGCTGTGGCTATCAGCCGTTTAGCTCAGTGTCTAGAGCGTCAGGCCGCGAATGCCAAAGACGTGGGTTCGATTCCCACAGCGGCGACAATCTTTTCGTACTTTTTCTACATGTTTTAATACCAAATAAATCTATACTTAAATGTTTTAATACGGTTTTCACAGTTTAATCATGCAGGAGAACACAAGGGAAATAAAAAATTAAATAAAAAGCGTCATTTTAGACAAGTTAATCAGAAGTTAAAGTAAGAAATCATTATGCAGAAAATTTTGAATTGGAACGACAAGTCAAAAAATGTGATTAGCTTAACTTATTAAAAGTCTTTTGATGAAGAGGACGTAACAAGACTTTGGAATCTTACTGTATAATTCATGCAATTGAAATACAGTACTCGACATAGGTCCAACGGAATTGCTTTTATGTATCAAGATTTTCGAGAACATTATTCTGTAAATTCTTCTGATCTAAAATGAAGATTGTAAATGACTTGAGTTTTTGTCCTCGGATCAAGCCGGTCGGAAAGACTTTGATCATCGATAACCCCAGCCGCCCGACGTTGAATGCACTTAAATGGAAGAAGCTGGTAATACGGGGCTCCCGCCCAGAGATGAGAACAGTAGGTACTCCATGTGGGGCCGAATTTGCACCTTATAGAGGTTTAGGAGTTGAGCCGACTGAACTGACTTAAGCCACTGGAATCTACTGGAATTACTTACGAACTTTATTTTTTATGTAAAATTTCATGAGAACACGCAAGCGTCTATTTGAATAAAGATATTTCGAATTTGACTTTGATGTTGCGCATTAACCACGGTGCTCCCATGTCTCTGCACAAAAATCGATTTTGAATGGCCTGAAGTCGGTGCATTCGCTTCGGAGCAATGTGCGCGAATATCGGACTAGATATCGGTAACGAAGATCGAACAGTTTGCTACTTTGTGTACGATAAACATGTACAATTAGCTTAGCTGTCCTTTCACATGAATAAGATTACACAGTTAATTTTTCTCTCTTTTACTACATACTTCGTCACACAGCTTCCTTTCCCAATGAAATAAGACTACGCAATGCATTTTTCCCCTCTTATATTATAAAATTGATCACACAGCCGTCCTTTTAAGGAGGACTATATACAGGGTGATTGTTTAGACATACTTAGATATATTGTTAATTGAGCATTCTATAATTCAAAAAAATATTAATATTTTATTTTGACAAGAAATAACCAGAAAAATATCAATTCAAACATTGTTTGTTTATCCCGTTACGAGTGGTCATCCTATTGATAAGCGGTTTGCTAATTTGCGTTCAGCGAACAGTTTTAGTGCTCGTGAATAGGTTATTATATTGAGCCGGTAAGCCAGGAATTTCTAATAGAGTATCCATATTGTTTGAAAAAATTAATCTTTGAAAAAAAAAAGAGGTCACAAGTACGTACGAGGTTTAGATTTAGAATCGAATTCTGCATATGCTCTGTTAATATGTCCGTCGTGTATAAAATCACCCTGTACATAATATTTTATACGTTTGTTAAATCCCTGGATGCGAAATTATGTACGAACTTTAATTGTGACCTGTTATTAAGTGAACTATTGATCCATAGTTATTTTTTAAAAGTTGGATAATTTATCATGAATTTAAGTATCACATTTTATTTATAATACATAATACTCGTATATGTTATGTTAAGTACATTTGCCGAACACGATATAGTTTAGTTTACACGGTTAGTTTTCAGGATGGTGTATCAATCAATTAAATGCTTAAAACTGTAAAGTTCAAGGGAACGATTTGCTTTACTCACTTTGTATGGCCCTTTATACAAACCACTTTATTCATCACTCCTGTGGTTGAGTCCCTAGCCAAACCGACGGGTTTTCTTTCTTCTATAAGACTAATTGTCTACCTACTAACTATTGGCGTTAACAGCTACTGATCGAGCCGAGGTCCGCCCAACTCATGCACCCTCGAATCAGAAAGCTAAACGGTCCCTGAGTAACAGCCCAAGCCGAGGTTCCCTTTCAGTAGTTAACCACATCCATCCCATAATCGAGGTACAGACTACGTGCCCTCAGCACCCGGCCACCTCAAGCCCGGCGGATCTGCGAAAGATCCATAAAAATATTAGGAATGAACTCTGTTATAACTGTTACATATCATTACTTTGTCCAGTTGTAGGTAGAAAGTAGGTTGGTAGGGTAATATATTAAGTTATGTTTGACATTTTTATTTTGTCTGGGCCATACCGTGACGTCTTAGGCAAGCTGAAGCAGTAACATCTAATACCCACGAACTCTAAGGAGGAGGCACGCCTAATCACGGGGGAGTAGGTCAAGATTTTTCCCCGGCTTAACTTCATTTAATCTTTGAAAAAA